TATACTGATTAACAACATTATCGGCCGTCACAGTTCACTGAATTTCCAAATTAGCAACTTGTCAATAAAAAGTCCACCATTCAAATTTTGCCTCCTCCAAAGGCCACAGAATCTCATTTGCAACGTTTCCATGCAAGTAACAACACAGCGTTACGGGATTGCAGGCCAAAGGATCCTCTTCTGCCGCGTGAATATTGCGAGTTCAATGCGCACCCAGTCACGTTTGAGCCCGTTTGATTCTATTGACGGCGAGCAGTTTGCAGCGTTGCGTGACGTGCTGCTCCCGCCAGACACCCATCAAAGGCCCCGACAGCCGGGATGCTGCGGAGCCAAAACCGCACGGGCGTTTCCGCCGCTGGGATACTGTTGTGGCGCCTCGACCACGCGTTTAAGGGCCGTGCGTCCTCGTCCCCCTGTATACCATTTCCATATAGAGTGCCTGTCCATCATTTCCATTTTGATATCGCAGGAGAGGCGGGACGGAAAGAGAGGAGCGACGGCGATGCGACGCGGAGGGCGGTGGATGGGAGACGGCGAAGGAGCCGAGCGGAGGGAACGGTTGCACATTCGACGCCGTGCTTCGGATGCTGTGCCTCGATATTGATTCAAACTGGCTGTGAAAGGGAGGAGGGGACCCACGGCCACAGAGGCTCCTGTAACCTCGGCACACATTTTGGGTTATAGTTTGTACCCAAAACACATCCATGAGCGCAGATTTCCTTGCGGAAACGCACCGTTTTCCCCCCTCAGTCCCCCCTCGACTCCTGTTCAGTCGGAAGCTTTCAACGTGGTTTTAGTGTCTGCACATGTTGTTGCTCACAGGGTGTGTCGTTCACGAGAGGTCACCTTGTCTCCAGAACCAAGAGCCTCATTAAGAACCCGGCATTGACCTCCTGTCGCCCCAATTATTACATACATTAATTCCATCGCCACTCACACACACACACACAGAAACACAGCTTCCCTGCACCGATGGCTCGATGATTGTTTCTTTGGTTGCTGGAATCAATCAGGGCTCCGGGTTTCAGTTCAGGTAATTGGAGTCTGCTAACGAGCGAGGAACGCACAGCCGCGTCGACGCGAATAAAACCCTCTTAGCTGGAAGCGAAATGAGCGGAAAAAAGCCGCGCGACCTTTGCTCCATCACTTCCGGCTGAGTCGCAGTGCTTCCAACCGCTGCCGCGTGCCACTCAGACGCCGCTTCACACTCGCTAAAGCAGCGGCAGGTGTGAGTGAACATGACGTGGCCAGGGTTAGAAAATAATAAATTCCCCCAGACTTTTAGCACATAATAACCCCCCCTCCCCCCCCCCCGCCACACGTTCTCCTCCCCTCTGATTCACATCTCCGGCGACTGTCAACAGGAAGAACCATTTCGGTCCAAAAAAACGAGTGGCGGAGGGACTTTCTCTCTTCGGGGGCCCGCCGCACACTTCAGAGCAAACGGATCGAGTTCTTATCTGGCAGGAAGGGTAATTGTCAGCGCTCCCCACCGGCTCTCCTGGGGTCGCTCCTCAGCAGATAATCGCCCCGTCTGGCTAACGAGGAACCCAACAGCAATGACAATGAGCTGTAATAAACACACAGTCATCCAGTAGAAACACGACAGCGCTGGAAACATCGTTATGGTGTTTAAAAACCTGATATTAAAACACACTCTTGATGCTATTATACAGTATTATTAAAAGTTAGCTTGAATAATGGATAATACAAAATGAGAGAAGGCCGTCTTTTCTCTGCTTTGTGTAATTGTTGTTGTAAAGACATAATGGAAGCTGCAGATTTGTACTATAATCGACATTGTCAGTATCATTTAAGTGCATTTACTCATGAGAGCGTGAATGCTGCTTATTCTTCCCGCTGCGTTTGAGCGAAGTCAAGTGAAATATGGGGCTGTTATGCCGACGCAGAGGAAGTGTGTTGGTTTGCGGATAGAAAAGTCACTTAAAGTCGCTGCAGACGACGCGTCGAACCGAAGAGACGCATCAGGCGCCGTTAACTGCGCGGAGACCTTGGATGGATTGTTGTTTTAGAAACTCTCTCTCTCTCTCTCACAGTCCTGCTCTCGCTCGCTTTAGGAAACGCCGTCACGGCGAACTTGTTTTTTTCCTCTCGTTGGAGGCTCGAGCTGAAAGGTCACCCGTCAGGCCCATGGACGAATCAGCTGTTAAATGATTGTAAATGATCCACTGTTCAGCTTTTGGTTTGGAGGACAGGACCCTGCTGCTCAATCATCTAACCTTAACTATACAGCGGTGACGATCAACAGGATCTATTTGGCCACTTTTCTTACATTTTTGTCTGCAGACAGTTTCATATTTTCTATATTTGTGATTAAATGGATCCTCCCTCCAAGGTCAGACTGCACCATGTTGTTTGCCCGGAGATGCTCGCCGTTCCATTTTTAAGATGGCAGAGTGGTAAATTCTGTCCGTGACCTGGCAGGCGGACACGGCAGACTTACGCGCTGGACCCGGACCAATCACCGCCGTCCAGGAGCCAAGTTCTCCACCTGCTCCACCTGACAGCCCCAACGAGGTCGCTCCTCTTCCCCTCCTCGGGTTTCTGCCTGTCAGAGGAAAAAGCAACAAGGGCTGATCCTCAATGTGAGAGAAAGATCATAAACTACAGCCCAATGTCTTCTCATTCATCGCTTATTATTAATCCATAAAGTCATGATAATGATTTATTCCTGAATAAGATATATACAGATATTTAATGTAACAGCTCTGGTGAATTACTTATTTAGCTCTCAGCACAGAGCAATTAAAGTGAATTTGTAGTGAAAAAGTGAAAAGCGAATATGGATTTTGGCCTCGATAAATGGCTCCATGTGTGTGTGTGTGGTCTGCTGAACAGATCCGTTATTCACATTAAGCTCTCTTCACGAAAAACAAGTCTTCTCTCCTCCAGCTCGGCTTTCAAGGGGCTTCGTGAGACCTTATTCTGTTGTGGTGTCGAGTCTTTAACAGTTTCTTCCTTCCGAGGGCAAAGCACATCAACTTCCCACCGGGGGGGGGGGCAGTTCACAGGTTGACAGCGATGCGATTCCACGCATGAGTTCCTTCGGTTTGTTTGGGAGGAGTGTGTGGGTGTGGGGGGGGGCCCGGAGGCCTATCACCGCGGATCAAGCAAAAAGCACCCAGGGGTGGTCTTCAGCGAAGGCCCCAATGCTGGTGGCTGATAAGGGGACACGTCCCGGCCCCCCCAGGAACTTCATCCCTGCTGCCTCTTCAACTCAATGTTCCTTATCTGCCAGGGAACGAGAGCCCCCCCCCATCCCCATCCCCCCCCCCCCCCCGATCTCCTTATCTCCTTACAGTCATCTACTCGGCAGACGGAGCGCCTGCACGCTGCGGGAGGATGGAGGTGGAAACTTTGTGGTTGAGAAAAGGAGGTCAAAGTTGGGTGACGTTTGGGAGCGAGACGTGAAAGAGCGAACTGAGGGACCGAGGGAGGGGGGGGGCAGGGGGGGGGGGGGGAAGAGGCTGAGGAAACAAGGATGTGAGACTCGGAGGGGAAATGTGGAATGAAAGGAAGAACAGCAGCAGAGGGATAACTTCAGGAGGAGAACCCGACACAGTATAATTTTGCAGAACCCCCATCTGAGTCTGGCAAGGGGGGGCGGGGCCACACGCGGCAAAGAGGTGGAATTGGTTTTTTTTTTTAAAAGAAAAAAGAAGCGTAATATCAGAGGCGGAATCCAGGGAGAGTTGGGCTTCTCTGCAGGAAATATTACCCAGACATATTACAGTTTGCTGTCATCTCTTCCCCGTTCCGTCTCTCCGGATGCTTTTGGGGCGACTCACCTCCCTCGATGGAAACTCGTGCACCTGTCTCCGGCCGACAGAAGGTTAAATGAAGAAGAAGACGTTAGAAGCTCACGCGCATCCTGAAATTAGGTGGGATTAAGTGATATTCATCGAGAAGCTGAATCTTCAATCTTCAATTCAACCAGTTGCGCAGATAAATTAGCTCATGGTCACTTTGTCCAAACAGTAATGGAAATGTTGATTATGCAAAGAGCTGATTTACTATGTCATACAAAATACTTAAATGATCAAAACACGCAATGTAATTGCCTGCAGACACTCGCAGTTTGATTGGGGGATAATTAGATCTAAACGCTGCTCTTACAGCTTTTTCATGTTACACTTTGTGGGCGTTGAAACGGGGGAAACGGATCCACCCGCCAGCCCAGAAGGGGGTTTACGCTCAAAGGCTGCAGGAGTCTCTGCAGCACCTCAGGGCCCGAGCTATGACTAAACGACTTGATGGGTTTTCTGAAATTAGAAAGCATCAAATGCACACGAGGGTGGGGGGGGACTAAGCTCATAAGCCACGACACCAAAAATGTCCTTTCCACCTAAACGTGCTCATTTTTAGATTGTTTTTCTTCCACGTGCTCAAAGGGGAACGATGTCTCGTCACATTGTGCTTCGGCTTCCGATCTTTGCGTCGCTCGCCACGTCAACGTGGTCTCTGGTCTCATGGGTTTGTGATAATAGCTTCTGTTACTTTGTGTCAGGGGCTTGATAGTTGAGAAGAAACACCCGATATTGTTGGTCGGAAGATGAGGGAGGAAGAATCTTAGCGAGATGTTTAAATGGGAAATCGAGAGGTCACGATCGGATGGATCAAGGTTAGACTTTTGTTCAGGTCATCTTGTTTGATGAATAAGCTGGATATTGATTCGCTTTACTTCCCTGAAATGACATCATTTTTAATATTACGGTGCTGCGGTGGTGGAATGCGCTGAGAGGGTTTCAACAAAACAACAGACCAGGTGTAGAGATCTACGTTGTTCTGTTTGCTCCTCACATCATGGGATCTGGTGAGAAGATAAGCGACTCGACGAAAATAGCTCTTAGCGAGGAGGCAAGCAGCCAGATGCAGAAAAATGTTTGCATTTCCGCAGTTACATAAAGTGTGTATGTTCCTCGTGACGTCTCTTAAAGGGGAAGTCTTCACCAGACAAACCCAATATCTGAAGCCCCCGAGTGCTCCGACCGGCTCACTCGGTTCTGCTGCTGCAGCACATCTGAAGTGTCGTGGTTAGATGACGAGAGCGAGCTTCCTCGACAAAGTCACAGCCGTTGGAGCACAAGGCTGCGGACCTGAAGCGCTTCAAGAGGACAAAAAGAGTGATGTACTATATTTTCTCTTAACTGTGCACATGACATTCTCTGTTCCTCGGCTTATTAGCCTTTATGACTCGTCTCGCTCCGGCGTCGCATCCAGAACCGCCTCTAGTTTCTGCGGAGGGGAAATGGATAATTCAATCGGCCCTTTTCATGAATTAAACATCCACTGGGGAATAACGAGCTGCGTGTTTTCAGAATGCGCCTTTGCGACGCACCAAGGCCGCCCTAAAACCTACACATGCGCGTGAAGCTCTTTAAAAGTCAACCAGTGGCGTGGAATGTGCAAAACGTTTGCACGTCTGTGCTTTTCGTCATTTACGTTTGCAACCTCGAAAATGAGTCCTGTCTTTCTTTTCCCGGTTCACCTCCGCAAACAAGAGCTGACGAATCCGGGCACCGGCGGTTCCTCTCTAGAAGAGGCGATGATGAAAGGAGAGCCAAGGGGAGGTCAACAACACACGACCGGCCCGAGGAGCCCGGCTGAGAAGGCGGCAGCGCCGTGACGGTGATGCTGCCCCCCCCCCTGAAGGTGCTTTGCTGTTTCACGGAGGAATGAAACTACGAGATTGGTTTACGGGACTGAGCTGGAAAAAAAAAGTAGTTCTGCTCAGCGGTTGCAAAAAACCCCCCAAAAAACAAGATGGCGACGGCCATGTGTTTTATGTTGAATTTTCTTTTGATGAACCAAACTTTAAACCTTGCAATATGAAGAGTAAAGAAGGTGCTGTATGTATTCTAAGACAAGTACACAATCCCACCAGTCAAATACTGTTAATACTGAACATTGGGAGATGTTGGTATCAAGCCTCTGCTCACTGTATTACATCATCACCATCATTTCCCACTCCTCCTCTCTCAGCCGCCCACATTGGAAATGATTTGCTCAAGTGAAATATCCCCTTTAATCCGCTCTGTTTACGGTGGCGAGGAACCCGGTGAGACGGCGTGACGCATTCTGTGCGAAACCCTGTGGGCGCCGCGCGGATCATCTCGCCACAGCAGACAAACAACATCCCACCCGTCACTCTGCTCCAGCGCCTCTGCAGGCGGCGTTTTTCCCCATCCCCACCCTTCCGTTAACAAGCGCCTCGTATTCGCCGCTGCTCTCCAGCACGCGGGGAGGAGATCCGGGTGGGGGGGGGGACACAAGCAGGCCCGCTCCAGGAACGGCGTCGGCGAGGACGTGTCGCAGGCTTCGCTCCTCAAAGCGAGGCCGTGCTTTTGATGCGTCACATCTTAAACGGCAAAAAGGAACAAACCGCAGCCTCGGACCAGCTCGTTGTCATGCGGCGTGCACGTGTGTTCCCCACTTTTACACGTTGTGCGTGCGCTTTTCCCTGAACTTGTGATTTTACAATGTCGGCCTGAGGCCTCCCGCCCCGGCGCCACGCGGCGGCGGAGGACGTTCTTTAGTGGAGTGACACATGGGTCTATTTCATCCCTCCGGTCAGCGCGCACAAAGAGAGACACACAAACACGCAAGTAATGAGTAAAACACCGTAAAGCGTTACAGCGGATTCACGCGGCCAAAGGTGTGAACGAAACGTAACTCCGGCTGCATCATCGATGACGCACTGATGAGGCTGCATTGTGCGGCGCTGCCGCGGCGTTACACAACTCTGATACGGGAGCAAATGATGAGGCACTTTGGGGTTAGTGTGCTCTCTTTGCTGGTTTCCTTGTTCCCTGCAGCCTTCTTTCCCAAAATCCCATATTCATCCTCGCCGGAGTGGGGGGGGGGGGGGGGGTCCTTCCATCACAGGCTTTTGTGCGATCGTGTGATTGTGTGCGTTGATTATTGAGTCAGTACTCATCTATCGATGCTACTTTTCTAACAATAAAACCTACTTATTCAAAGGAGAGGAGACATTCTTTCACTCGGTTGGACTGATATGAAATAACATAAATAAATATGGATTCCTAATGCGTCCTGAGACTCTGAAGCATATTCAGTTTCAGTAATTATTTCATGGCTTTTGTGCGTTTGTCTCTTGTGTGTCAAAACACACACCGACCAAACTTAATCTTCCTTCCCCCCATTATCTATAATTGAACCAATAACAACAAATAAAAGGAATATTACTTCCCCCGTGGACGAGAGAAAAATAAATATTTCCTTTTGTCCAGAACAATACGGGGTTTAATAAACCGTTACAGGCGCCCGAGGTGTTCGGTCACACTCGGTGGAAACAGACACAATCACAGTTTATTCTCAGGTCATTTGCAAAAAGCCATTGGTCTTCCCGGGGGCGGCGGAGGGGCCTCTTTTTACCAATCTACATTGGAGAATACCCCAGGGCCCCCCCAAAGGGCCGGGGGGGGGGACAGGGAGGGGGGGGGGGGGCCCGGATTCACTCAAAGCCGCTCTGCAGACACGTTATAAACGGAGTCACTTATCAGCCGCGCGTGTGCAAATGGAGATTATCCGCCACTCAAAGTGTAATTTGCCATCCGGACACACGGCTCACACGGGTCAGCGGGCCGCCTCGCACCTTCCTTTCACGGGGGGGGGGTTGTCGGATTGGGGGTCCGCTAATGAATCGTCCTCATGGGGGATCAGAGCGGCCATCACACCTAATAAAAATATGTTAAGAGGCAAAAAAGGAAAAGGGACGGACCTCAGGAACCTGGTACATCGACAACGATTACACGTTTAACAAACAGCTTGTGGTCATTTGTCGACATGGTGTTACGTGATTCTACGAGTCCGGCGTGCGAGCTCTTCCCCTGGCTGTGTGACGGTTTCCCTTCGATGCACATGAAGGGTGGTGGTGACCTTCAGGGTGGTGACCTTCGCAGGCGGAGCAAAGAGCTGCATCTCAAGGAGCGAATCTTTGTGGCCTGCGAGTGCAAATAAATACAGAAGCTCGACACACTCTGGATGACGGTGAATCTACGATGATTGACTGGAAGCCGACAACTGCAGAGTAGTGATTTCTCATTTATACCTGACGGCACAGAGACTCACATTTTATTAAAAGGTCTGGTTTAATGAAATAGTGGAGTGAAATGACATTGTCCCTAATCATGGGTTTCTCCCAAAAGGTCTGCAGGGGAATTTAAGATTATCACATTAAGTGGAAATTGTATTACCTTTTAGCTCTCGCGTCGTCTCCGTGCACGGTTTCCCTTCATCGAACCGTCTCTCTGGTGGAATAGAGGAGAATAAAATAACATCGACACTTTGAAAGAAGGGAAAGGGTCTTAGAAGAAGCAGTGGATTCGCTTTTAATAATGAAAAAATCAAGATACGAAGCGCAATTTTAGAATCGAATGTTCGGTTGTGAGTTTTTAATGAACAGTTATTTGTTCTGCAAAAGACAATTCAACAGCTCTGTTTTTCTGCTTTAATCCCGTCGACAACGCTGACGGGTTCCCTTCTCTCTTCTCTACCAGGAAACGTTGCCGTTCCTCTATCGACGGCGGCGGAGAGCCAATTAAAAGATTACCGTGAGCGCGTCGGAACCACCGAGTGGTGGTTTTGTTGTCTACCACAAACAACAAACATGAAACAAGTTGCCTTATTATCTATAACGACACATTATCTGGTCTCACCAGGAGGACGCGTCCCTCTTCTGGGTCTGCTTACTCGGCTGAAAAGCGGCTTCCAAATCAATTAGCAGTGAGGAGCACGACGAGGCCTCCGGAGGAGCGGCGGCGGCGGCGGCCCGGTGATGAGAGGTGGACAGGCAATTTGCCACCTGTGTGAACTTTAATAGTGGCGTGCAATGTTTATAAGAGGGGGCGATGTGGATGGCTTGTTAAACTAGGGAGGAGGTGCAGGCCGACGGGGCAGCAATGACTCTGTAAACACAATCAATAAGTGCTTTTTTAAACACACATGATAAGGATTATCTTATAAACAAGCAAACATCTCTGTGCATTCACGTCATGACCTTCTGTCACTATTGTGCTGATCATTGTCTGTGTAATCAACACGTTTGAACCGGTCAGGTAATGCTTGACATTTTACCATGATTGTCTGATTAGCTTCTTTGTCCCTTTGTGATTTCCATCCATGCATGCGTCACAATTGAAGAACATAAACACAAACGTCGACCCGGAGCGACGGATAAATGACGCCGTGGCCTCACAAAACACATTTGTGGCCAGAACTCAAGAACTCAAGGTGCTGATTATGACAACGTTCTCACAACACATCTGGACACATAATTCAATCATCTCAGAAACGGAAAGAAAGAAGTTTTCCCTTTACCTTCTTGTTAGAAACCTATTTTACACCACCTACCGTCCATCAAAGACAATATATAATATTATATTTAAACCCACTGGTGGATACAGACACTAGTAATCCAATTCTGTTGTTGTTCTATGCTAATGCACCAGCTGAATTAGCATTAATTGCTAATATGCTATCAGTCATGACTTGAAAGCCTTTTGCTTCCATCTGCTGTAATACCTCAAAATGTAACCCTGACCCTTAAACTGCTCAGTCGCTCGTCTGTGGCAGTGGGTCACGTTTTATTCAGCCGACACTCGAGCATCCACCCACCTTACCAGAGGACTCACAGCACACCGATCAGACTGACGACGCAACACAAACTAAATGAGGAAAAGCTTTTCATGGGTGAGCGTTTGAAAGAGAAAAGCACAAAGGGCAGGTTCATAAAGCACAGCACCGTCGCCATGGCGACATGCGGTGCACACATGCATACGCGGAGCCCCATAAACAGCAATAAAATAAAGTGCTTAAGGGGCAGTCTTCTGTTTGCTGGAACATTTTGGACATAATGATTGTTCAGTATCCTCATTTACGATATACTATTAAAAACTGTCTCTTCCTTCAAATACAGCTACGGGGGAAAAGTACCTTCTCTCACAACTGATGCTGTTGTGTTGAGGCAATCTGTACAAATGTCACGCGTAGATTGATGCTTTTTTATTTTCTGTCTCTCTCTCACACACACATAGAAACACACACGATATCAGCTGGAGGAGGGAGGGGGGGTTAGAACGATATAGGAGATGACATCAGGTGGGGGACAATGACAGGTCATTAAGTGAACCGGTGAAACATGCACCCGGGCTCCGCTGTTTGTGACCGGTCTCGGCGAAGGGAGCAGACAGCAGCGTGATCACACACTCCGTCGCACAACCTCGCCAGGACACGTGCGGGTACTGGGGAATGCATGCGTTTCCCCCACACCCTACCCCCACGTGTGGGTATTTCTGCCTCACACATGCACCTGGCCGTGGCGGGAGGCCGCGGCGTCGGTCGTGGCGTCGTGCCTCTCTGGGACGTGACCTTCGCGCTTGTGAGCGCCGCAGACGAAGAGCGTGAAAGTGGAGAATTGGGCCGATTACCCAACGAAAAGGGCTCCGGCTTCCTTTTCCAATGGACGTGAGGGTGATGGCTGACATTGTTGGCATTTCGATGTACCTCGATAACAAAAGGCAATCTTTGCCGAGGGTGGACTGCGGCTCTGTTGTCTTCACTTTAGCAGCGCGGGAGGGGGAGGTTTGCCCGTCTGACGCACACACCCAGGGGGGAAAACAACGCCCACTCAATCAGCTGACATTCAAACTGATCAACATCCAGACTCCTGATCCAGACGTGCACGTCTGTATTTATTCATTCAAATTTGCTCAGCCGAAGCCGGTATGACGCTCAGCAAATCAGGTAGATTTGGGGATTTTTGCTCCTTAATTATGAACATATGGAGAGCAGCAGTGAGCTTTTAACCAATAACTCAAAGGTAAACACTGTTTTATGACAGGCATATAAAACACCGGCATGTGAAGAGAGATTTTAGGACCTTAATAAGGGCAGCCCTTTAAAGACTGGCTGACCTTTTACTTTTTATTTCTTTAGTAGGGCGGAAGAGTAGAAGCACAGGTCTTCGTCGAGCAGAGCGTTCGGATGAAAATGGCGCCTTTAAAAGCTCATGAGCGCTTTGCCTCCAGTGAGTGTGCGATTGTTTATTATATTCACATGGATATTTATATATATTTATATCCAGCACCTACAGCAACTATTAAACGTTCTTAAAGGGATGCGTAACTATTTTCACGGTTGCTGTCCATGGTGCTGAAACGGTAACATCATGTGAACACGTTATGCACATAATGATGATACTCTTATTTACTTTCTAATAGCAACGGGCATCCTATGCTATAATGTAATTATATATAAGTACGTTTATTATAGGGGGATGTGGGTTGATTTGAAGTAAAGATGAAGCAAAGATAAAAGAATAAACAAAGAAAGTTGTGAAGAAGTAAGAAAAAAGACGATTTTCACTTCTCTGCTCTCACCGTGACTTAGCGCAGCTTTGAAGATGATGGTATTTGTTTCTCAGACAGAATAAAAATAATCTCTCTCTGTCTCTTCGAGAAGACTTTGAAAAATAATCAGATTTTGGTTGTGGTTATGGAGAGTAGACCGTGAAACAATAGATATACAGTCCTTGGGGGGTTGGGAAAGCTGCACAGTGAGGGTTCGTTTCTGCATGACTTGTTTTTGTAACTATTGTCAGCTCACATTGTGAAAGATGTGAGCATTTAATTAATCAAGCAATGACCTTTTCTAAACACAGAATGTCTGGCTGCTGTTCGATGGTCTGATTCACGATACAGAAATAACAGCCGTTTCCAGTCTTTTCTATATACAAAGTATTGACTTTCAAATGCAGTTTTGCACCTGCGTCAAATTGTGTCTGATTGAATCTTCCCCGTAATTGCCGTTCCGAAACAAAATAGAAAAATGTGTATAACTGGCTGCATACATTAAAGCTAAATTACCATTAGAGCAGCGGTGGCTCGTCGCCAGGTAAAGTGTTGATTACAGGAGAACGAATGGAATGCTCCCGGGGGCCCCTCCTGAATGGAGTTTCATGGAGCGAGTTAGTGGGCTGGAGAGGACATTCATTTCCTCTCCCGCTTGTACGCACGCACACACACACACACACA